TTATTCAGTATTACCTTATCTTGTAATGTGCCGTTAATTCTAAGATAAACAGATAATTATTTGGACATTTTCCCATTGTCATTTTTTTTTCACTTTGTGTTTTTATTTTTTGCTAAATGTTCTTTTGTAAAAAAAAAAAACAAAAAAAAAATCTTTATTAGTTTGAATGCAAAATCATTTGTGATAGGGGAACTCGGATCAAATTTTGACTTGATATCTCTAAAAAGCTTATATTGTCTAGATTAACATATCATATCACCGCTCTTTAGCTTTAGTATAAAACAAGTTAGGTTACCTTGAATTTTAATCACTTTTTGGAGAGTATTTTTCGGATAGTGCAATCTCTGCCATACGAGAAACTTTCTTTGATACATCTTTAACTGCTTAAATGTATATCTTAAATCATATCTTATAAATATGTGCGAAATATAGATTCATATATATTTTAGCTGCAAATTGATACCATTTTGGATTTGGTAGTACAGTGTAACCCGGATATAAGAGACCCGGATATAAGAGAGATTTTCTCTGGTCCCAAATTAGAGCCTGTGTTAATGTATATAAAATAGACCAAACCCTGATATAAGAGAAACCTGGATATAAGAGACTTCTTATCCGGTCCCGACAATTGTCTTATATCCGGGTTACATTGTATGATTAATATGTATTTTACACACAGGGCTGTCAGTGAAAACACGAATATTGCAGTATATATAATGTTAAGGAATTGTCATTTTAATCACAATGTACTTTCAATAGTAAATCCCCATTGGTAGCATTTAAAATATTATCATATAAATCTGGCAAACATATAGAGATGTGTAGCGTTTTTTGCTCTTTAGGAGTTATGTCTCACGTGCTGATGATGGTTCAGCATCTATTATGTCTGGACACGCACAAGCATGTGTGATAGTGTCGACTGTAACTAAGGCATGCGAAGACGCTCTACCAGAATGTCACTTCGTTGTTACTGGCGAGCATGGTTCTCCCCGGCGGTAAACCTTCGTTTCTCCTCTCCTCGCTTCAGCCCTCAGTGTAAATCGCGTCTCTAGTTTGAGTGATCCTTGCTGACGTCTTCCCACTTCTCGATGTCACTGCCCATCGCCCTTATGTCTCTTTCGCAGACGTCCTAGAAGCGAAGCTGAGGTCGCCCTTTTGAATTGGCCAGTTTCTCAATATAGAGATCTGCTATATAAATTATCCTCAGTCTTATCAAAGGAAAAATAGTACACATATTTAAAATAATTAAATATTAAGAAACAAAAGAGATAACTGAATTCAATTTTGATTTTTTTTAAAAATTGAAAAATAGTTGGCTCTTCAAAATTTTAGAAAGTATCAGTTTTCAGTAGCACACTAATAATGATTTCCATCCGCCCGAGTTTCTTCTAGATTTTGGTCCGAAGGTTTATCTGACAGGTACTGCACATAATTAGTCTTTTATTTTATTTTGATTTTGATTACTTTATTTATTTATTATTATAGTTTATCTTGATTATTTTATTTTTTATTGTTTTATTTCTTTATTATTTTATTTTATTTTGATTATTTTATTTTGATAATTTTATTTAATTATAATTTTATTTGATTTTGATTATTTTATTTATTTATTATTTTATTTTATTTTGATTATTTTATTTATTATCTTATTTTATTTTGATTATTTGATTTTGATTATTTTATTTATTTATTATTTTATTTTATTTTGATTATTTTATTTTTTATTATTTTATTTATTTATTATTATATTTTATTTGGATTATTTTATTTTTGATTATTTTATTTATTTATTATTTTATTTTATTTTGATTATTTTATTTTGATAATTTTATTTAATTATAATTTTATTTTATTTGATTATTTTATTTATTTATTATTTCATTTTATTTTGATTACTTTATTTATTATTTTATTTTATTTTCATTATTTTATCTTCATTATTTTATTTATTTATTTGGATTATTTTATTTTTTTCTATTATTTTATTTATTTATTATTTTATTTGGATTATTTTATTTTATTTATTATTTCATTTTATTTGGATTATTTTATTTGGATTTATTTTATTTTTATGACCAGGTTTTGGCATATTTAAAAGCGTCACTCTTCTCCTATGCGACGCGTCAATTTAGGACATAGGCGATCCTGTCTCTCCACAACTTTCTATCTAGTGTCATTTTTAGTCTTTTTCCTCTCTTTGTTAAGGCCCCTTTTCCGCCGTCCATTCGTACAAATTCGTCCGGTAAGTGTCTCACTGTCTTTCCCTACTTCTTATGCTCCCAATATATCCTGTCAGGTTTAAGTCCTCATTATGTGTCCAAGGAATTTGTTTTTCCTGTTACCGACTCTAAGTGTACATTCTGTTGCAATTTTCTCGAAGACTTCCTTGTTGATAAATCGTTCTTTCCCTGGCATTTTCAGTATCCTTCCATAGAGCCATATTTCCGCTGACTATTTTCTTCCTCGTACGTGGGGAGATTGTCCAGCATTCATTGCCATATATTGGATGGATATCACATAGCAATCCAGGACTCTTTTCTTTGTGTCTGACGATATTTTTCCGTCTCTCGTCACCTTGTATTGCTTCTGCAAAGCTACGATATTTATCACTAAAACATACATAAGCAAAGATACAAAAATTAACGATAACAAAAGATATGAACACAAAAAATGGATATCATTCAAAATCGAATCTATGGATTTCGAATATAAATGAAGTGAAATTGAATCTTTCTCAATTGAATCAACCAAAAGGGTTTCTACAATACATGATGCAGAATGATTTTCATACACGCAGAGGTTAACATTTTGATTATAATCGCTGGCAAATTAACAGTAAAATAGACAAATATATGGTATAAATTCAAGACAATGTAACTTTATTTACGCAAACGCAAAAAAGGGGGGGGTGTTAATCGATATAAAATAAGCTTTTTAGTGGTACCAAACATGGTATCCGAATTTATACCTTGTTCCATCATGAAACGCTCAAACTATGAAATTAAATCAATCAAATAATTTAATTATTTCTCATCTTCGTTGACATAAATGTTATAGAGAAAAAGTTTCGAGCAGATACACTCAGGTGTCCATTGTTTAGTTGATGTGGGATATTCGCTTATAATTTTCTCCCTGCGATACTAATTATTGTTCGTACATGACTAACCAGTTTTTCAGTATCTGACCCAGAAATTGAACTCACGACAACTTGTGGGTAGTAACATAAATATAACCAACTCCGATACCAATTATGATACACAAAGGAAAGCAATGAGACATTTTTGGAGTCTTTATATTCAATTTGAAATGGTTTAGGAATTTGGATTCCGATAGGAACTGGACCTGTATCATATACGGAACCGTCTTATAGCCTGACCCCTGAGCCACAGAGGAACGTTCGGATAGCAAGAATGTATAAACATAAAAAAAGCCTTAAATAATTGTCGAACTTTGTCCATTTCATAATGTGTGACGTCATTTGTTTCCATTTGGATACGCATTCAGCAGATATGAATGTACATGAGAGAATCATGGAAGATTGTAGTTTAAAGGCAGTAAAATCGACCTTGCTAACCGAACGATCCACTGTGGCTCAATCGGTTAAGGCACGTCAGGCTCTATACCGGTTGCGTATAGGATACAGGGTCTATTCCTTTCGGAGGATGAATATTTTCTATGAAAATTTCTTGGGTATCCAACCAGGTTAATGATATTAATACTGTTTATTATAAACAGAACATTCACTTAAATATTTGTATGTATAAACATAAAAATGTGTTATATATAAAATATATATATATATATATATATATATGTGTGTGTGTGTGTGAAAAGTGTGTGTAGATAAATATAAATAAATGTATATATATATATATAATTATTTATATATTATATGCGGTGCTTATTAGAAAGCGCTCAATATCAGAGATAGACCTAACATATTTGGTTGGATTGATGTGAGTTTGCGACCGTCGGGTTTCACAAATTTGACGATCGTCGGACCGGGATCACAAACGATCAATCCAAAAGCCAAATATATATATATATATATATATATATATATATATATATATATATATATATATATATATATATTAAATTTTCTTTGAAAGAAAAGAAATCTGGTCATTTAAAAAAATGTTATACGACTTTTGACGGGAACAGTCTTATGAGAGTTTAATGTAAACATAATGAGAACTTCTCATTGACCAACCTTCCCGTATTGGGATCATTTTTCTAATTAGTTCCTGAGCTAATTATTCTTCATGTCTTTAATTTTTCATGAATGCAAAAATTTAAGGCTCCGCCATGTGTATGAATTTTTTTTTCTTTTTTTTTTTGAGTGGGGGTTCTATGGTTCGCTAAAATCGAGGCTTATTTCTTCGAAATTGACATAGATACTAATTTTGGATTGATTAAATCTCTGGACACAACATCCTTCGATCAACTCCAAATTACATTCGATTTTTATTCAACACGAAGAAGAAATTTACTGATGCGTATATTTTTACTAATTAAAAGTTGAATTTTAAAATTCATATTCGAGTTCCGAATTAATAAAAACAATTTCACGACCATTGTCACAGAATTTCTCTTCGATATAACTTGATTAGTGATCGACTGGCCTTCGCATTTCATTAATATTTATCGATCTTGATATTTATTTATAGAAAGTCCACGTGATCTACGTTTTTAGTTTGACTACCAACGTTTCTACCTGAAATAAAACAGGTCATTCATTTTTTTTTTTGTTCGAGTTCTGGTTTAATATATATATATATATATATATATATATATATTCAGTCTGTTGCCAGGAGTTGTTTATTTTGTATAGAGCTTGATTTACCGGCTGACGCAGTATGTTAATATTTTTTCAGTCAATCTGGTTTATATAACTGATGTCGACTTTAAAAGAAAATGTTTTGAAAATGACTTAACTTGATTAAAACCATAATTTTTTTATGAGAGAATCCTAAAAATGTAATTTCCCAAATTTGATCATGCGACCAAACACGAGAATTTCTTTTTACTTTCGATATATTCACGCCGAGATCCATCTAGCACTATCTCGTAATGTCGATTAAGGACGGATCATGTAAGCAACGAAAAAGTCTTTAGGACAATGGAAACAAAAATGAGACTCAGACTTAGAACCAGAGAGAGGAAGCTGAAATTTGTCGGACAGATAATGAGAAAAGAAGGGGTTAAAAATTGAACACTCCCAGCACATACTGAATGCAAGAGGGACAAAGGAAAACACTTAACAACCTAACTAGCATAATTGTAAATGGATGGCAGAAGAAGGAGTTGGAGACAGTAAAAAGACAAACAATAACGACAAAGGATAGGAAATCCTGGGGAGCCATATTCTTGAATGGACCCGACACGTAAAATAAATCAAAATGTTTTTATAAATATGTTTTGGCGTTGAAATGATGCGAAATACACGCAGCTTGAAATACAAGTCACTTGTAGCTCTTAAATATCACTGTTTTTTAACCATTTTATTCCAAGTAAGGCAATAAAGCCACTAAGATGCAAGAGGTTAAGGAATGTGACAGAATATGAGAAAAAGAGAAAGCTTATCAAGGGGGAGAAAAATAAACGAATAAAAATTAAGAAAAAAGAATATATATATGTGTGTGTGTGTTTGTGTGTGTGTGTGTGTGTGAAAAGTGTGTGTATATAAGTATAAATATATATATATATATATATATATATATATATATATATATATATATATATATATATAATTATTTATATATTATATGCGCGGTACTTATTAGAAAGCGCTCAATATCAGAGATAGATCCAACATATTTGGTTGGATAGATGTGAGTTTGTGACCCTGGGTTTCACGCTTTTGCGATTGTCAGACAAACTGATTAATTTTTTTTAAATTTTGGGTTTATGTAGATTGCATGTATTGGTGTTATTATGGAAGTGAGGGGGGAAACGTCGTCGTTTTGGCATCGTACTAACGCAAACATCGATGTATGCAGACACATATACATATTTGATCGTCCGTCTGGACTCATGCATATATAAACATATGTGGGCAGTTTCGGATATGACATATGTATGTTTACGAGTGGTGTTGTGTCTGTACATACGCATTTGTATGTTGAAATTCAAAGATTGGGAGTGTAGCGAAAATTTCTCGTGAATGTCTCGTGAATGTATATGTCATATTTTTATTTTTCCAGTGAATAAATTTCCTCGCATGTATGTATATACGTGTGGTGGGGTTTGTGTAAAATTATCATAGGTAAAAATTATTATTATTTATATTTATTTTTAAATTTTAAAAAAAGGGTTTATTTGTTATATTTAAAGCTGGTTATTTGTTTGTTTTTGATGATTGTGTATATGTAACAGGTAGAAATTTGTAATCCTTATTGGTTATTTTATATGGTGAAAGACATCAAGACTGCAGGGTGACTGGCAGTTTCAGACTTAAGGGATTATCTGTTATCTACCAGTTGTATTGCAGCGTTGATTACTGTGTCCACACTATTATACACATAACGTACTATCCTCGCTATTAAGAACTTTTCTCATATATGTACTATTAGGATTTTCCCAATTATATTGGTAACAAAAATATTGTGACACCGGCAAGAAGAAAGGAACACAAACACAGTTGAAAAATGTATGAAAAAACATGTATTTGTAGGAAAACAGAAGTAAAGTTTGTAGGAAAACAGAAGTAAAGTTTCTAATTGCAAACAGTCCGCTTGCGGGACTTATCTGCAAAATGCGTCCTTATAACAGTTTTATCTTTCCTGTTTGGCTTGGTTGAAGAAAATAGAGTCCTGCCTCCTGTGCCTTGGTTGCTGTCGAAGTCCTCACACGTGTCGTGGTGTTTAAATGACGGAGTGCAGAGGGGAACGTGTTGTCTCTGAGGTTCACAACAAGCAAAAGAGGAAGAGCGTTTGTAAAAACCGCTCACATGGGGATTTGGTGAAAGTCTAAAAAGGTAGCCTGTGATTGGTTGTTTTTCATCCAATCACAGGGCACCCAGTTAGCGACTCCGTAATAATTTCAATAGTACAGAAGAAACCACCCCCCCCCACTCATATATATATATACATACATATATATATATATATATATATATATATATATATATATATATATATATGTGTGTGTGTGTGTGTGTGTGTGTGTGTGTGTGTGTGTGTGTGAAAAGTGTATATAAATATAATATTGTATATAGAGTATATAATATAATATAAATATAGTGTATATAATATAATATAAATATAATAATATAAATATAATATAATATTGACGATCGCTAAAGCGTGAAACCCAGGGTCACAAACTCACATCTATCCAACCAAATATATATATATATATATATATATATATATATATATATTCTCGTGGCCTGACGATTGCGTCTAGCATGAAACAACTGTCGCCTCTAATTGTTGAGTTCTGTGTTCACTTTTATATATATATATATATATATATATATATATATATATATATATATATATATATATATATATATATATATATATATATATATATGTATATTGAGGTATGGTATATTTATGGGTAAAAGTTATCAATATGCGCGACAGAGCATAAGAGAGTACGCTGCGATCAAAACTGGGTGGCGAAAGTTTTTTTTTTTTTTTTTCTGGACGCATCCCGTAAGAATCGAACTCACTACTCAATATTAATTGATCTAGTGATACAAGCTTGCTAAGACATTAAACCACGCTGAAGAACTCAAGTCGTTACTGCATCTACTATTTCCAGATATACTTGGTTCCTCCTCATTAAATTTCCTTTAAATTTAGCAAACATATATGCCCCCAAGAACTTCATTTCTTGACTATTCTTATGTCCATAAAACTCCCCATTGTAACCCTCTATCTTTAGTGGCTTTTGAGATTTTATATATAGGTAGTACAGTTAATAGATCCGTTGGTATATAATCCAGGTGGATCTTAGTAATATCAGACATTAAAACTGATCCGCAGAGAGAGCTAAATATATTTATTATAACACAGCATATATTTTATACAGCAAAATATTCCAAATTATCTCATGTGAGTAGAGTCTATTTCACACTATATTCCATTCTTCCTCAGCCCATGACAGCAGTCTGGGCTGAGTAAGTGCTAGTCTGAACTAGACTATACCTACATGAGGTAATTTTGATTTTTGTTGCATCATATATATATATATATATATATATATATATATATATATATATATATATATACGACGCACCAGTCGAATTCGACGTATGAGGGTCAAGCAGATCAGTTCCTAGGAAAGCGACAGCCCGACAACAGCACATGAGATTTGATTATAGTGGTGAAGGTTTCGTGCAGGACCATCCATACTTTTTGATGGGCCGAATACAGACACCTGGTGCCTTACGTGCCACAGGGTCCCCAAACGACCCTCCGCAGGTTTTGAATTCAGAGTTGTCCTTCTCCTAGACCAGTCGCCGTCCAAGGCTATAGAACCCAGTCTGTCCTGCTATTTACCATTAGTATTAGCATCTAAGTGAATGTAAGTGAATTCGACTGGAATTCGAACTCGGCTCTCCGATTCCTCAATCCAAGCCGCTATCCATTACACCATCGTGCCACACACACACACACACACACACACACACACACACACACACACACACACACACACACACATATATTTTACTATTTGAATCTAGATTTATGCCTAAGTATTAGATTCTAATTGTATAACTATTAAACGTAGACTTAATATTCTATATAACGTTGCTACCAATAAAAAACAGAATTCATGAAAATACTAATGATCGTATTGAAAAGGTCATCATCGTTATAAGTAACTGAAGATTGTATTGAACATGAAACTCCGAGGTGAGGGAATATATATATATATATATATATATATATATATATATATATATATATATATATATATATATTTGAGGTGTATCAAAATACTTTTACAAATATGGTGGAAGATTTCTCACATCAAGGAAAAAAACTCATATAAGCATATATCCGTAAATCCTTCGTTTTTTGGTTATTAATTTTAAACAAAGTTTACTGTAGATGGCACTGTCTTGCCAGTGAGACAAGGTTTCATTCGTCTTATGTGTACAATTGTGGCCAGTTTGTTTTCAATTTTTCATATCGTGAGCTGGCAGATATGATTTTTTGCATACGGCAGCGCGGGTGGTAATGGACGTGAGGCTGCACGGCTGTATTAGATCGCGTTTCTAGAACGAAGGCAATCCAACATTTGATGCTGCTTATTGTCGTCTCAAACGTGTTGAAATGTATTTTGATGCACCCTGTATATATATATATATATATATATATATATATATATATATATATATGTGTGTGTGTGTGTGTGTGTGTGTGTGTGTGTTGTGAACTCTTCATTAGTTGACTGATTTACTGTTTCTATGTTATTCTAATGTGGAAAATGTTTTTTTTCTGTATAGGATGCCATAAATACAGCAGCTGCACTTTAAAATTTCCTTTGAGGTTTGTTTATTTTGCTAATATTAATTTCAAAGACTACTAAATAAAAGATTATAACGTCGAAACAAACAAACAAACGTTTCTCTCTTTCTTGATTACTCCCTTCTGTATTCGTTTTTTATGAATCAAATTTACGTTAATGCTTTCAAAATTATACATTGCAGAAAATAGAATTAGCTAATCAGAAATAATATCAGTTCTAAGCCTATTTAACTAACGTCTACCTTGTGTTATTAGTTGGATATATTTAACCCGAAGGATAAATCTTCAAATGAGTGCACCATCAATACAGTCATAACACGAATGCACACACACATACACGTGTATATATATATATATATATATATATATATATATATATATATATATATATATATATATATATATATATAAAAAAAAGACGAAATGAAAAATCTAATTATTGTCTTTTTGTTCCGATTAGAATGATGAAATTCTTTCTTGGAATAAGGAGGATTTTTTTTTCCATTTCGTTCTTCGGTACATATTTATTTATAATGTAACGTTATGAAAACTTCGTGGACATATTTTCGATTTTTTAAAACA